TGTCTCGCGCACATCCAAGTTTTCAAATGAGACTAATGTGTCAATCGTTTCGATTTGATCAGTAGATGCGAGGATACTAAGATCAAATTTTATAGGGATTCTTTTGATTTTTGGCAAATCTCATGATGCCACAAATTTTTGGGAGAAAGAGCTATTGGATCACATCGGACTCTCCGCGCTTCTCTCGAACTATTAAAAATATGCTCACTCTCAAACCGGTTCTACAAAACTTTCTCCGGTGCGAGTTGGGAGATGGTAACCACGCCTCCTTTTGGTATGACTCTTGGACTCCATTAGGCCCTCTTATTGAATATATTGGTGAAATGGGTCCACGACAACTACGAGTCAGGAAAGATGCCCGAGTGATTGAGGCAACTCGGGATGGAGGCTGGAGAATGCCGGGAGCAAGGTCTGAGAGAACGCAAACCCTACTGCTCACTCTCACAACCGTAGSTCCTCCAACGGAGTCAAACGGTCATGACGTCTTCCTTTGGRGAAAGCAATCGGGTACGTTCTCAACAACATTCTKTTCTAAGGAAACTTGGGCTCAATTGCGCAACCAATCTCCTAGAGTTCCTTGGTGTAAAATTGTTTGGAGCAAAGAAGCAGTTCCACGACATGCTTTCACGTGTTGGCTCGCTTTTAAGCTCCGATTACCGACAAGAGATAGACTTCGAAGATGGGGACTAAATGCTCCATCTACTTGTGTCCTTTGCCACTCGGGTATTGAGAGTCATGAACATTTGTTCTTTGATTGTTCCTTCTCCAAGGAGGTTTGGTTACCTTTTGCTTCAAGAGTTTGGACTGCTCCACCTACGACKCTACAAGAAATATCAYCWTGGATTCTCCAGCCACGACAACAACAGTCACCTCAMGCACCYGTCATCATCAAATTAATTTTGCAGGCAGCGACCTATCTACTTTGGCGCGAACGCAACTCACGCATCTTCACATCAGAACGAGCAACAGCAACAACAATCCAAGCTCGGCTAGATCGTATCACCCGAGACCGTCTTCTGTCATTCCCAGCGACTTCAACATCTACCTCATCTCTTCTTCTTTTCTATTTCACTTGTATTTCCTTTCCTTTTTAAGTTCTTTCTTCCCAAAACGCTCTCTAATAAGTTGTAATCAACAATGAAAAATCGAAAATGGTATAAATCTTAACATTTAGACCAAAAAAAAAAAAATCTCATGACGCCAATCGAAAGTTGTAAAGTTTTTTAGTAGCATAGCTATCATATAGATTTAGAGCTTCTTCTTGTGAATCCAAGTTATTTGAGAGATTTAGAGTTACCACATCAATGGATTCAAAAGAGATCGACTCAAGTCAGTAGTGCAAGTACTTTAGCCATCAAGTACTGTGGCATGCGACTGTGAATTTTTCCGTTTTATCTCTCAACCATCGATATCTCCTTAGTCTGAAGATTTTCTTTGTGTCGGAAGCGAATGATTTGGGAAGAGAAGAAACCATGTTTATTGTTTACACAACAAACGTCAGTTTCAAGCTTGACTTGCTCAGTGATTTAGGAGTAGAAGAAAGATTTGCTTTCTCTCCACAGTTTCCCAAATTGGAGAAAAAGAAAGATTTGCTTTCTCTCCACAATTCCCAAATTGGAGAAAGATTTAACATTCAGATTAACTATTACTACTAGTAGAGAGTAAAAATCAACAGAAATAAAATGACTACTCAGAAGATGAAACAAATATTCAGAATCTCCAAAAGACAAAGTAGATGACATAAAACAAATGAGACTGACCCAACAAAACAATTAGCAGATCACTCATAAATTAACCAGAAAAAAGGAAAGACGCAGTTTTGTTCCAAATACGCAGTTTTGTTCTTTCTTTCTGTCTCAGAACCAAGATAGAAAAAGGAGAAGAGGGAACTCTCAATGTAAATCAACCTGTTCAATATTCTCCGCACCGCCCATGGGGTGGATCGAGCAGTGATGGTGCACCAAGAGCCACCGGTTATTGTGGAGTTGAAACAGATTGGCGATGCACAATGGACCGTCGATAGCCACGTGATGGTAAGTGCACATGGTGACCCAAACCGTGTTGGTTAGAACTGGCGCCACCCAGAAATTGAAGGCATCTAAATCAAACAAAAACTCCCAGCTAGTGAACAAATACTCCCATCTTCGCATCACTGCCTCGTACCTATAAGCCAAGAATACAAGTTATCAACTACAGGGGAGCTTTCATGGATTCACAGGTCATACCGGGAAAAAACCCTTGAACAGATTGCATAAAAAAGCTCTAAAGAAACCCAAAAGGAGACACAGTACAACCTCTCCAAAACCATTATCCGGAAACCACTAAAGTTAAAGAAACAGAAGAATGCAGTGACAACATGAAGATAATAAGTACCCTGAGTAAGTTCACCCGACTCATGGAAGCACACCACATGGTCTGCATTAAGCCAGAGTCGACGCATCCTGTCAAGTGACTTTGCGGCCATGATTTCGAAGAATTCAGAATTCGCATTCATGAGTGTTTTAGTAGCTGCATAGTATGCCTTCCACCCGTTAACCGGCATTGCAC